ATTTTAAAATATAGTTCAATATCTGTCAGGATCAAATACTTGAATTTTCTAAAAAAATTTAGGACAGCAAAGAAAAAAATAAATAAAACTCTCAAATCCATTTCAAGCAAAAATTCATCTTCGAGAAAAAAACACACATATTCATAGTTTATAAAATATGACATATTAAAACAGAATAGAATCAATTAAAGATTTATAAACAATTTTTTTATTTCTCTTAATTGACATAAATGATGGCGAATGGAGAGGGGAAGGGATGTTTAGCTTGGAGGTTTCTTTCGATATATTATCAGAGATTTCGCTCACATATATCTAAGTGTCATTGGAATTCTTAAAGCAAAAACACCACCGATCTTTGACCAGACAAAAGATAAGTATTTTCTTATAGAAAAAAGGGCCACCATTTTTAAAGTAATTTAAAGAGTTTTTATGGGTCTCTTATTACGAATCCGATTTGGGCAGATTTTTTGAAAAGTTTATTCGATTAAAATTTTAGCCAAAATAATATTATGCAAGCCTGAAGATTTTGCTCAAGGATCTGTGAGTAGGAACGTTTGACTCGCTCTAATTAACAATCCTAAGATGCCATTTGCACATATAAGAATCAAAGCATCGAAACTTTATTTCTTAATATTCTGTCGATATTTTATAAGAAGGCGTGGCCAGCAGGTCAAAAAGATTTTTGGACCTGGAAAAATTTGGAAAAATATTTTTACTGGCCGAATGGCCGAAGTTTTTGAAATGTCGTTACCCTTCATAAGAAAATTATTATGGATCGGGTCGGACAATATTGACAGGTCATACATAAAATTTCCACGGACCTGTCAGGCTCTGACAGAGTTATAGCTTCCAGATTATATTTCACACATTGGGGAAGGGGGGAGGGGTGGTAGATTTTAACTTAAGGCTCGTATTTACATCATAATGTGTATTATGATATACTTATAAAATATAAAATTACGTCTTGAAAAACAACAAACTGACTTTTATTTAATTACTCTTCTAAGGGTGCGTCCAAAAGTCAAAATTTTTTTTACAATATAAAATTAAAATGATTCTCGCATTTATACATCATTCGTTCAAACTGAGTTAATCTGAACGGTAAATTATTAAATAATAGTAATAATAAACAAAATTAATTTTTATATAAACAATTTATACTAAATTGATATTTATATAATTTATATCTTTTAAACACAACACTGTTGTGTTCAACGACATGTATGATACCTAGCCTGACGATTCATTCATTAAAAGTGTACATCAATGCAAATCAGCTGGAGACGCCATCTTGGTTGCACTAGAGCCTAATTTATTCCTAATGCAAACTTTAATAAAGAATTACCAAATCATCGACATAATAAGGAAACAAGTTATCAATTTAATATAGTAGTTTTTAACATTAGAATAATTACTATATGTGTTACCAAAATGGCGGGTCCAGCTGATTTGCTTTTAACGACGCTTAAAAATGAATTTTAATGAATGAATCATCAGTCTAGGTATTATATATGTCATTGGTTGCGTTGTCAAAAAGCCCGATTCTGGTCGATTTTATAAAAATGGCCCGATTAAGATTATAACCAAAATAACATTATGCAAGTCCTAAAGACTTTGCTCATATCTAGCAGAAATGCTTTGGACATCTATTTGCCAAATCTTGATGCTGACATAATATTATTTTAAGCTAAAATTCTAATCGAATTCACCCATATAGGGCGTTTTTAACAAGAGTACACAATAGATACAATGGTCTATTTTTTCATAAACCTAAGGCCGCGTTATTATGAACGACGCGGTATGCCTTGCGCTGAATTGTTTTTATTTTTTAAAGCAAGTAAATAATAGGTAGAATTTATGATCTATAAGCAAGGTTAATTCCATCGCATCGCTCAGTTATTATAAATTTTAACTATGATTTGCTAGCTTTTAAGGAATATCCAGAGATGCTTTTAAGGAATATCCAGAGATGCGCGCACAGGGTCTAAAAATTGCTTCTTAAAACCTAATTTCCTCATTCTATATTTGGACTAGCATAAATTTATTTCATACTTTTATACGAATCGGATTGGAATTAACGAATTGAATATATATATATATATTTATTTTTTTTTAAAAAAATTGAAATCTAAAAAAAAAAAAGTGTTCCAAAAATAAAAAAAATTAATATTATTTTCTATTGTTTATTATATTTTTCTTATCTACGTTGCGTAAATATGATAATCCGTTTCGGCGTTATTAAGGGGATCCGTCGTTATGGTGACAGGACGGCTACGAAATTTATTTATTATTTTTTTTAAAAAAAGGCGCGAATGCAAAAAAATAAATAACAAGTTTTGCTATTTTATGTCTTAATGATTGGGAAAATCTCTTAAACATTTATTTAATTGATAAATTCCGCATGAAAATAATTATTTTTACTATTTTTTTTTACTCGCCAACACCAAAATCTTACATGTAAGGAAGACAGGGGCTGGTTGGTCCTATTTATTTTTTTTTGAATTGAAGATGCTAGGCTATTTATATTTTTTTCTATATAACTCTTTAGTAGTATGCATTAGAGATTTGTAAATGTAGACCCGGTTCTTACTCGGCCCAACGGATTAAGGTTGGGCCTATTATTTTAGAATATAATATTCGGTTCGAACAGGGTCAGGGCTAATAGTTTTTAAATAAAATCGGGCCGGGCCTGGTCGGGTTTAGATTTTTGAAATAAAAATGATATATTTTAACATTTTCTGCAAGAATCAGGGTGCCAATATTTTTCTTATTTGTTTGTAGGATGTTAAAAAATCTGATTATATTTAGTGTAAAAAATGTAAAACAATATTGAATTATTTTTTATTTCTATATTTAGATAAATTCGGGTTAGGGGAACAAATAATTTTTTATTTCGGGTCGGGTTTTTATAAACAAATTGGAAAAAAATATTCTGGATCGGGCCGGGCAGAAAAAATTATTTTTTTACAAAAAATTTTATAGCTATTTGTAAAATATTTTTTAAAAAGAATGTTATAATTATAAACATAATCTATTCATCATGATTAAAGTTGATTAAACACCGAATCTTATAGTAAATTTAATTTACAAACAATAAAATAAATTTAATTTTTTTTAAAAATTGACCTAATGTTATTAAACGGCTCTTTGGTCTATTTATTATAACGTTGAAATTTAGATTTCCGCCAAATTTATATTAATTAAGTCTCTTTCAGATTTTGTAAATTAGATATCATAATCTTTATGCTAAATATGGAAAAAATCTCAAAGGCTTGAATATCAATTCTTTTTTAAGCTAAAATCTTGGAGTTAACCTTTTTCTAAAATCTGTTAAATCTAAAATAAAGACAATATCTAAATTTTTATTTTATTTTTAGGGTGATGTTTTCGAAGAATACCTTCCAGTAAATTTTTAACTTTTTAGAAAATATTAATCTTATAACAAAACAGTTAAAATTTTGCTATATTTGATTTTAATAAAAGATCTCTCTAATCTTAAAATAACCCAAAGATACTAAACAATGGACAATAAATATTGTTATATTAAATCAATGATATTTATAATTATGTAATAAATTATACTTAAAATTTCAAATTTATATTTCGGAACGCTCTTAAACTGCTTCGGGAACGTTCTCAGAATAAACTATCCCATTCAGTTTCCATCTAATAATTTTTCCTATGTTTCCTTTCCGAAAAGTGTTCGGAACGTTGTGTTCCAAGTCCTCGGTTATAATTAAAATTTCTTTATAAGCGTAATTGGTATGAACAAAATTATACATGAACATTAAATAACATGAAATATAATAAAAAGAATTTTAACACGCAGATAATTTAGGATCAAAATTTTTTATAATGATGATTTAAATGAGATTTTGAAATATTATACTTCACAAAAATATTAACTTTTCCTTATTATTATATAACATGATTAATAAAATATATGAAGTGACACAGTTAATTGGAAGAAGAGAAATCGATAAATTTATGATATTAACAGAGAATTATTTATAATTTAATAAATTCTAGATGTAGTATAAAATTGGATAATGATCTGTTTACAAAAATGTTTAAATAATAATATAATAATTCGTAGTCGTAGGAAAATTAAACTTTATTTTATTCTAAAACGATTTCTGGGTCTACTCATTTAATATAAAAAATTGTTCATATGAAGTCAATAACAAAGCAGTTCAAAATCAATATTTACTATATTTTCAAAATATTTTTTATACGAAATTCATACACAATGATTACAACATCATATTAATAAATAACAACTTTTAACTTAAAAATATTTCTAGATATTCTTCTTCTTCTGGATGCATCCATTATATCATCAGGTTTGGAGATTATGTAGTAATTTATTACTATGTTCTTACTTCTTATATATTGGTGTAATTGTTTATAAATTGATCCTAACAGCATAAAAATATCAAAAATAATATATTTACGATAAAATTTTTATGAAACATAAAATTTGAAGTATTAATTGTACTTCTCAGGGGTTTATTATTTAAAATATTGTAAGTTAAATAGATTTTTAGAAATATTCAGACTCAGTGTCAACATGAGAGAAAAATTAAATGCAACAAGCCCAGATTAACCCCCTTCCCCCATATTTTTACTCCCTATTCTATTGCCAACTCTCCACGTAGATTCTTCAGAATTTAGCCCTGATAATTGTATAAAAATTATCAAGGAACCAATATGTCATTGCAAGGAACAAAAGATATATTTTCAATTTTTTATTGATATCGATTATAATGATTCTGTTATTATTTTTAATTCTATTAAATATTTATTTATAATTACTATACAATTATTTGTACTTAGATATTTTTTTCTGCTGATTTTATTAAAATATCCATTCCGCTAGTCAATTCAATAATGGTTATATATAGCATTTAGCTTTTTAAAATTTCGGGATTGGATCTTTCGAATTTTAACACAGTACTAAGAACTCATATGTTTCTTGTTTTTATAAATTTCTTGTCATAATGGATGATAATCCTGTGAATAAACATAACAAATTATTAGCCAGTTTAAGCAAGAATGCACTTAAATATAAGGAAAAAGGAAACGCTTGGTTCTCTAAAGGGGATTATAATAATGCATATCAAAGTTATACAGATGCTATACAGCTGAATCCAAATGATGCAATTTTATATAATAACAGGGCTCAAACTCTAATAAAACTTAATAAGTATATCGAAGCAATTGAAGATTGTAATAAAGCTATAAACTTAATTAATAAAAGTATAGGAAGTGGTGATTCTAAACAACAAGAAAAGTTATTTAACCCTGATTATAAGGATTATATCCATCTTAATCCTAGTATTCTTAAAATATTGTCGAAATCCTTTTTTAGAAGAGGCCTATCTAGGTATGAATTGTTAAAAAATAAACTTCAAATTTCAGATATTGACAAAAATATACAAATAAGTCAATGCATTGGAGATTTTAAGATGATTTTAGCTTTTGAATCTAGCAATGCAATTGCCAAGCAATATTTAGAAATATTGCAAAAATATCAAAGGTCTTTTGAAGTAGCAAATAGTGGGGAACCAACACTTGCTAATGTAGAAATGATTAATAATTACCACCATTCTCTTCTAACAACTCAGAATGCACCTCAAAATTTATATCAATTTCTTAAAGATATGTCATTCCTATCTAAATTACAGATTAAAAATATAAATGATCAAAATTTGCTCTTTAAATATATCTCAAAAATCAATCCAACCAATTATCCAGTTATATTTGGAAAATCCTTAGAATACTCACACTTAGAATTTATAATTAAAATTTTAAAAGAATATAGTCAACTTTCAAAGAATCAAAATAATCAAAGTACAAATAATTTTCCCATTGATGTTCTTGGTCATTTAGAACATTTGAGTAATATTAAAAGATTTGATACTATTGTAACCCTTTTTTTAAATGCCTCAGATAAACAAAATATCAAAGAAATTTTATCGAACTGTGAATCAAATATATCTGATAAATCATATAGAGATAGAATTATAAAAATTTATAAATTATATAGTTTATGATAAATGTAAAAACTAATTCATGTTAAATACATTTTCTCTAATATTAATAAGCAATATTTGTATACTATAACATAGCACTCACTGCCTGTCTTTCAGGCTTGCATTTTCATTAAAAGGTTATACCATAACTGATGCATTGATAATTTGGGATTAGCTGGACGCTTAATTTTAACTAGAGACTAAGAAAAAAAAGCATTTTTGTGTTCTTGTTTCCAGTAAAAAAAAATATGTTCCATTCTGTTTAACACATTTCAGAATGCACTCAAAATATCTAACTTTATTTCTAATGTTATACCCGTTTTCACACTATGTAGTAGTTATTAAGAGATCATCATTTTTATTCACGGGATAGTTAATATAAATTTATTGACAAAAAACGCCTATCAATATACTAACTTGGTAACTAAATTATCCAGTTTATTATACAATATTAATTTTATAATAAAACTGTTAAAAATATGATTAAAAAATTTTTTTTAAATAATCTTAGTTATAAAATAATTTATTTTTAATACTAAATAATGTGTATACAATTATATTATTTTATAAGACGCTCCATAACAGTTGTGTGAGCATTCCCGATCCATAATTTCCCCTAAGTTTTATTCCCCAGAATGTTCCAATCCATCCTAATTTCAACTGATAATCCAAAATAATATATCGTCCAGTTACATTGTTCCTAGACCTCCCTTTCTTTCTTCCTTTGAAAGAAAGATTAGACTTGAAAGATAGGCAAGTCTGGTATGGACCATGGTATACAAATTTTATATATTTTTTAATAAATGGTTACATATGAATAGAACCAGACAAATCCTGTAAAATTTACGGGCCAGACTTTAGTTCTAAAGATGTTTTTCAAAGCTAATGATTAGGCTAATTTAAGGTGTTTCCTTTTATAAAAAAATATTACAGGCAAGATAACTTGTAAAAAATATATTCTATGGGCCAGCCCATATAAATATAATTATAAACGGAACCAAAAAACCTTATAATAAATCCAGACTTCTGCAGAAGTTAGGATATGTGCTACTATGGGAATTTCTACTTTAATCTAGGGGTAAAACTTGATGAGTCAGTGACACGAGTTTTTTCAAAAGTATCATTGAATAATGTTGATGAGAAGGTCTAGGCGGCAAAATTTTGTTGGAAGAGAAGTTCCCAAGGAAGTGAAAATTAAGAAATATGAAGTTTAACAATATGTCTGACAGATAACATAAAAAATAAGGATAAACTTTAAAAAAAATTTAGAAATGAAGAGTTATTAATTAAATAAAATGAGGAAGTAAAAATTTTAGAATTTCGTTCAATTGATTACATTATTTTCAATAAATTCGGTTTCATATACATTTCTGGAAGATGAATAAAATTTACATCAGGATTAATCATGTATGGATAGGATACCTATTGATCATTTTTAACAAGTATAAGAAGACGATAGTGGTGCAGTATATTCTGGAAAAACTTTACAGAAAGTCCCTTTTGTGTGAATTGAATGCATTTGATAATTCCACATTCAAATGAGGATCTAAAAGAATTAATTTTTAATTTTGTGGCATTAGGTAATGGCACTTTACCCACCTCTTTTAAGGAAGTTATGAAGATCCTATGAAAGAATGGATTAGCTCCTATAACTATATATTTAAAATTTTAAACCAACTTTTTATTAGATTTTGGTTAACTTATTATAAGATGAGAATGAAATACAGGACCTGTCTAATTTTGACACTGCTGAGAGCAAAATTTTGACCAACTTAGACAGTTGCCTAATATTTTCTAATACATAGTTAATAGAAATCTTTAGTCAAATTTGAAAGTTACCCGATTACCAAAAGCTCAAATATAGATAAGTGTTACTATGTATTTTTTTAAAAAATTGAGAGATTATAAGATTTTAACCTGCGAGTTTATAATTAAAAATTATAACAATATTATAAAAACGAAAAGAAGTAAATGAATAAGTTGGAATAAATATTTGAATATGATTTGTTGCAGTTTATTAAAATAATCATAAAATTGTCCAATCGAATTTTTTCTTTTGAATTGTTCAATATTGCAAATAATTTTTTGTAGCATTTATTATCACAGAATGTGTACAGATACTTTTATAAACATATTTTACATAATTTGAAAAAATATATATATAATCACCCTATTTTCTGTTCTTGATAACGGATTTCATTTTGAGTCTCCTATTCTTACCGGGTCTAGTTTTCTTAAAACCTTTGGATCCTTTCTTTCCACCTCCCTTTTTTGAACTTTTGAAATTTCCGAAATTTTTAGTGTTCTTAAAGTTATTTGATTTGTTGTTGTTGAACGTTTTGATATCGTCTGCTTTCATGTTATTAGCTTTAGAACCCCTTTTGCGTTTATTGCCACCGGTTAGTAAGCTGTTATTTCCAGTTTGGCCAAATTTTTGGTTTTTAAATATAGCCTTTTTACTTTGTAAATACAAAAGAATACATTTTATATTAAGATGATGTATACAAAAATAAAGGAAATTACGTAGATTAATATTGCGAATCTTGCCAATTATTAGACTTAGGCCTCGTTTATAGTAAACGCGATATGTTGAAACGGTGCTGCATTTAACACTGCGTTATTTACAAAATCTGGACGATAAATAGGTATTATATTTCCCATTTAAAAAATATCATTTTTTATAAATACATGTTTTCAAAAAATATTATCGCTGTGACATATCAACTGTGATTTCGATTGTGTTATATACTGCCTCACTTGAACTAATCGCGTTTATTATAAATGAGGCGTTAGACTAGTAAGTGAAAATTAATAATTTATCAAAATTATAACCTCATTTTATTGGCTGGGCGTTTATTATCAAATTTATTGGAATGAGATTTTGACTCTTCTTCACCTGGAGTATTGGTTTGCTTCCCTTCAAAGGCGAACAAAAAAATATAAACGAATTAAAATTTCCAAAATAATTGTAAAATTTTTATAAAAATGGAATAATAAAAATTTGGATTTTTATTTATGATTTTTAAATAGGACTGTGACGATATTAATGCTAATTTGGTGGCAATATGGGCATTTTAATGGAAATGTAAATAATAGCAATAATGGTTTTTAACATACTTTTAAAGAAATGTAATTTTTTAAAAAAAGAAAAATTTCCCATTTATAGTAAACGCGTTATCTTCAAGCGTTACGTTATTCAACGCAGCGTTATCACAGCTGAGTCAGTTTTAAAAACTAATTTAAGATAATAAAATAAATATAATTATTTTACATAATATTTTTTATACCTTTTAATTGAATTCACAATTATTTTTATCAATGCATCACATGTTCTTCAAATTTTAGCACAGCATAAAAATTATAATGATTCATATTTATAAATTTGTACCTATTTATTGGCTTTATTTTGTAATAACGCTGCAACATAACGCGCTTACTAATGAGGTCTAAATTATAATAATTAACAGTTGATTTGTAAACTGGTTCTTAAATTTGACACAGTTCTAGGTTCCTGTTCCAATCTATGTTAAAAAGCAATCAAATAATAATCCACAGAATTTTAAACAATGTATATACTGCCAGCAGGAATGCGTGTAATTAAGCAAAATGTATTTTAGTATATCCCTGTACTGTAATCTTAATATATAAAATAAATTTAAAAAAAACTTAAAAAGTTCGTGACAAAATTGTCTGAAATTTGTAGGATAGTTATTTTATATATACTTGAATATATTTTTTTTAGCAAAATCAAATTCTTCATCTTAAAAAAAGGGATTTGAATAAAATTATTGCTATTTATAACTTAAATCATTTGATATTATTTAGGCGCCATTTTCAAGAAAAAAGAAAATATTTTCTAGTGTGCGTGAACGTGTAAAATAATTACTCTTATAAATTATCGGATGATTTTTAAAAAAAAATATTAGACATATTGCCGTTATCATATATACTAAATATAAGACACTCTTGTTAGAACCGGTTTCTGGGAATATATAATATCGTTACAATAAATCGAAATTTAAAATGGCTGATATGATCTAATCAAAAGAATTTTTTTTTATTTCTATTGTTCTACTAATTACCCTATAGAAAATAATAATGAAGATATGGATATAATTGTATAAATCATTTTAAATTGACATTGTGGTGGGTGAAAAAATAAGTGATTGAAAATAAAATGCCTTTACTTTGTTTCCATAGCTTCGTTTTCTCCATCGTAGACTTTTTAGAAGCTCTTTTTTGAATTTCATTTACTTTGGCTACCTTTTTCTTGAAATTTTTTTCTCGTCTGCTTTTGACTATTTTTTCGATTTTGTCCAAACGATTTTGTTTGCCTATCAACACTCGTTTAATCTGGTGAGTTTGATTTTTTAATAATGTGATCATATAGATAATAATAATAAGAAGAAAATAGGGGAATAACTATATTATCGTATGAAAGGGTTCATTTTAAGTTATTTTTATATCATAAAATTTAAATATTTTATTACTATTGTCTGCCTAAAAATTATTTAAAACTAATATGAATTTTAGTCCAATATTTTTTAATTTGATCTTTGCAAAAATATATTTTATAAAATGCTAAACCATCTAGATAATTTTAAATTCATTTATTGTTAATTTAAATTTAAAAAAATTTAGACAAATATATTAAGTTGCAATAAAAAGTTTTTTTTAACCCTATCCATGTGCATATCTGATTTGATCATCTCAGCAAAATAATCATCTGGCCTTTCAGTATATGTTCCAGACTCTCTTAGTCTTTGCAATTGCTTGAAACAAGAAGTCTGTGCTAAATTATAGCTAAAAAAATATATAATATCAATATATTTTCAATCATTCTTTATTAAGCAAACTGGTCAAAAAATTGGGATATGTGGAGCATGCATTATTATGCAGAGACCCCTATTCAAACTTTTTTATTATGAGGGATTCGATCAACCTTGTTTAACCAGATCAAGGATAAATATCAAGTGTGGTTCCAACCCACACCTTTGTCGTAAATAAGAAAGGTAAATAAATAATGGAAGTGATTAGTATACAAAATAACTTTAAGTAATGTATTTGGTTAATATTTTTCTGGAATTTATTAAATTTATTTACTTATATTTTTAAGATGAAGAGAAGTATTAAATAGTAAATTTAATAGATTGAGTAATTAACTTATTAAAACTCAGTTTTTTATTTATCAATTTATTTGAAATATATTTTTTATGTTGTTTATAACATGAATAAAGTCCTGTATTGAATCCATTTTTTCAGGTGACAACTAATTCCAAGAAAAAAAATAAAAACTTTGGTCTGTTTAATTCAATTTGAATGTTTGAATACAATTAGAAATGCAAAATTGCTCCACTCAAGTCGACTACAAAACGGTTTAGCTGAGTTTAGAGGCAAAAAAATCGGTTCAGCCTTGGAGTGCAAACCAAAAAATCGGGTCAAACTTGGTGCTCAAGTCAAAAAAATCGGCTGTCTTGGAGCTATAATAACAAGTCAAGCTATAAGAATATAAAATAATGATTATTAGGCTTCATTTTTGAGTAGTAATACACTGAAATTATCTATTTTATACAGTAGCAAAAAAATATATTGCCATCATTATATTATTTTTTAAAATAAAAATCAAAGGGGATTAGCAAATTGATTTATTGGCATGCATTCCAAGGCTGATCTAATTTTTTTTGCACTGCAAGGCTGTGCCAATTTTTTTGGTTTGAGCTCCAAGATTGAGCCAATCTTTTCAGTGGCTGAGCCGGCTTGAGTGGAGCAATTTTGCATCACTAAGTCCAATCCTGAATTCTTTTTTAGAAATAGGACTAGATCTACCTTTTTTCTCTTTTGCCTATTAAAAAAGGAGAATATTTCAAAAAAATTGCACTCAAGAATAATAAATAAATAATTTTTCAAGAATTTCAATAACCTATTTAAGATATATTTATGTAACAATACTAAGAAATCTAGTTTCTTATTCATTACAGACAGAATTAACCAGGCCCCAAGTAAATAAACCATTAAATAACTATTTAGTATAAAATAAATTTAGAAAAAATAGAGATCAAAGAAAACTAAATTTTAGATAATAAATTAATTAGATCAACAAATCAAATAATTATTATATATCCTTTTCTACCCTTGTGAAAATATAAATAAAATTGAACCTTAGATTCATCAACTAACCTCAAAAGGTTAAGGAAAAGTAATTAGGTTAAATTATTTAATATATTTCGCATTATTCATTAGTATGTTTTAATTGTTTATTTAAAACAATGCAGAGGTTTACTGATACTTAGTATTGAGCCAACTCTCATGATATTGATGAGTACTTTAAATTTTAACTGACAACCCCTAAAAAATTAATCCACATATATTTTTATAAAAAAATAGAAATGTTAATTTTTTCCTTTATTTTTGCAGAACTAATTTTGAATTAACATTAAAGAAAATAAATTTAATATTTATTTGATATAGTGATATTGGTCAATATTATCAGTTTATCTCTGGTTTTAAGTTTACAACAAATAATATATATTTTAGGCTTTAAGCATTACAAATATAATTCTCGCTGAAAATCATTCTGTGCCAATACTTCTTCTTTTTTAATTCTTTCATTAATATCCTCTTTTGCACCATTAGATGTATCATTGTCTATATATTCTTTGAAATTTAGTTGATCTTGTTCTAAAGTTAATGGAACATTTGTTGAATAAACATCTAATATCTCAGGAAAGGTTAACTTTTTGGAGATAAATTTATCATGCGCAACTTTTAGCCCATTCTAGATAATTCTTAGAATATTTTGATATATAAAAATAAAGAAAAACTTTATCATTTATAAAAGTTTTTGGTGGATTGATCTCTTGATAAAACTCACCGGACTTTATCTCACCTTTAGCAAATGCCTCTTGAAGCTAAAAAATAATTTGGAAATAAATTCTATATAAAGATATTACTTCTAAATCAGAATCTGAGGAAAAATCATCAATTTTTGACATAATATTGAATATATTCGATTTTGAAAGATTAAGAGATTGATTCTTGTGACAGTTTAATATATTTGACGGGGACAAATTGTATAAAACTAGTGTTGTTTATTTTTGAGCCAATTTTCAGAAAATATTGCTTAAGCCTCGAAATTTCGATAATAAATGTCTACCTTAGTACCTTATATGAACAAAATAATCAGGCTTGCGTAATATTTTTCTTCTGGATCAAATATTGAGTTAGCTGTTTTATAAATCGGCTCTAAACGAGCCATTTAACAACACTAATACAAAAAGTGGCTTTGAATGCTAATTATATTAATTAATATCTTTCGATTAAAAGTTAAATATAATTTAGAAAATCAGAAAATTTATCTGTTGATTAAACCATACAAATCATAAGCAGAATCTTGTTATCAAAAAAGAGGAAAATACCATTATAATAGATTTTATGTTATATTAAATATCTAATATAGTAACTTAGGATACTAGCCAATATTTTAGGGTTTAGCTCATAGGCGTACTCATTGGAGACGAGAAAATTTCATACCCCAGGAAATGTGCCTGTTCGCAAATATATATAAACTCCCCTCCCTCACCACCCTTCCCATCCCCTCTTCCCCAAATATGTATTCAATAAATTACTATCTATATATTTAAAAATAAATAAGCAAGAGTTAATTATTTTTTAAAATAACAACCATAATTCAAAATTTCTGTAAAAAAGGTGATAAATAAAAACGATTATTATAAAAATCACATAGGCAAACGTCCGCACAGGGTTGTTAATTGATCCATTTAAAAGGATAAATCCAGAATCGACCTTTGTTTAAAAAATAGATAACGATCACGATCCTTTTCTTATTTTATGCTTCATGCAAAATTAGCTAATATAAAAATAAATTAAATGTAGTCTAAATTTAATGTAATAGAATAATATAACAATATTTATAGATTTATAATCAAAATTAGCCTTTAAATAATAAAAGAATTCATAAATTATTATGATTCAGCATCCGCGTCCTTCATTAAGAACATATTTAGCTTTAATAAGCAAGCTTTACACCGGAGCGCTTGATGGCAAAGGTATTATGTATATTTATTTATATCAATAAATAAAATATCAACTAAATTATTGTTTGAATATAAAAAATATAAATTAAGGGAAAACGCATTTTGCAAAGAATTTTTCCCAAAAAAGTAACAGATATTTCTATGCAATTATTTGAATAAACATATGCATATAGTTGATCCTGCAGGTTTCACAAATGGATAATTAACCTGCCAGCAGATTTTGGCAGATTGATATGAGGTTAAGCTTAAATAATTATGGGTGAATTATTTCTGCTAATTCTAACTGTTCTCAGAGAGTAAAGGAAATCTATATTTTAAGAAATGATAACTAACATTATTATCGATAATGAGGAAAAGGTAAAAGCTTCTCATTCTTATCTGTCACTTCAATAACTTTGTGCATTTTATTTTATTCTAATAATGTATTTTATTTTCATTTAAATAAAAAGAAAACACGAGTTTGTATATCAAATTCGCAAATGTTGTCGATAAAATTTATGAGAAAATATAAAATATGGTGAAGTGTTAAACATGATGGAGATAGATATTTAAAAAAATAAAAAATATTTAATTTTAATTTTTGTTGTTTTGTGTTGTGATGATTTAATGAAACATATTGACGATTAAATTAAAACTAATCCATAATAATCTTTGCAAAAATAATTAAATAACAAAAAAAAACAATAAAAGAAATTTCAATAATGCTTTGTCTATATTTTAATTATTTTTGCAAAGATTATAATTTTATATGGATTGGTTTTAATTTAATCGTCAATATGTTTCATCAAATCATCACAACACTGTATATACTTTGAAAAATATAAATTTTTTAAAAGGATAGAAGTATCGAATATTTAACGAAATGATCTCGATAAGAATCCTAAATTTAAAAGGAAATTATAAATCCGAGTATATTGCTAAAATAAGAATCAAATCTAGGATCGTCGATCCTATGATCTCGATCCTTTAACAACTGCTTTAATGTAATCTATTAAATATTAATTTATATATCTTATTAGTAATATTTAGCATATAAAAATAAAAATAAAATTTATGATATTTTTGTATTTTTTTTTTTAAATGGGTGTATTAAAAATGCTTTTTAATCTGAGCCCTAACCAGAATATATAGATAAAATAAAATTAACAAAGAAACGTTTATTTTATTTAATCTAGCAAGATTTTTAATATCACGTTGTAATATAATATAATGTTATTAAATACATTTAAAGAATAAATATCCAAATACATTATATAGCAGCTATCATAAGTATAACCAGGGAGGTGTGAGGAGGGGGGGGGCGGGAAATTTGTAATATAATATAGTACTATAAAGGAGAATTTTAAGAAAAAAAAATATAATAAGCAAAAGTGAATAATATTTAAAAATAATGACTATCAATTCAAAAATTTTAAATTAAAAAAAAAAATTCATTTTTATGAAAAAAGTAAAAAATCAAAATTATTATTTAAATAAATGTAGCACAGTCAAAATCCCCCGCATTAGGTGATCTCTACAGGTAAAATTATGGCCATGCCTAAGACAGCTATGAAAATATATTGCAGATTTAGTGTAAATTTTAAAATAATAAATATTTCATTTCACAAACATATATATGCGATAAAATGGAATATTATATTTATATATAAATCTTTTCAGATGAAATTGAATGTGAGAGTCTTTAATTTTATGAAGAATTAAATAATCAACTCGAAATTTTATTCATTAGTATAATAATATAGATGAACTACTTCGAATATTTTAATTATTGGTTATATTAGTTTTGTTTCATTTTGATATGCAAGATTCCATAAAATATTATAAATATCTTTATCCTTTGATATAATATAATATATTTTTGAATCTTTTACCATTTTGGTTTTTGCTTAAGGCGGATTGGAAGGAAATTATTATGACAATAAAATTATTTAATCCCACAAGAAAAATAATATTATTTAAATTAAACCCTAAATCTTTTTTTTTGTAATGACGTTTTTAAATAAAATTTTAAAAAATATTTGTTTAAATGAGTTCCAAATTATTAAAAATTTGTTGCCAAATTTAGAGAAAAATAGTGTGCTAATTTTTTTTTAAAAAGGGGGGGGGGTTTACATGCATAGCGTCTAGTTAACTACGCGTTTGCTAATTGGGTCGGATCTTATTATTTGTAAAAGACAGAGTGCAACATTCTCAGCTGGGTAATACTAGTTAATGACTTACTATTAGAAATAGTCATTGATATTCATCCCTAAGATGTGACAACAATTTGCATCGCCAAGATGTTCTAGGGTAAAATTGTACTGCACTTCTTTTCAAATCTTTGCTAAAATAGCGCGAATCAATTCCAGTAAACATTTATTTAGAGATTAATTTAGAGAAGATAAAAAAAAGGATTAAAGGGAATAAAAAAAAAGTGTGATATAGTTTTCAAAATTCGTTGTTTATTATAATTTTTATAAATTATAACCATTGGCCCCTTAGTTGGCCACGATTATTTGAAGAATAATATAGTAAGTAAAATTTTTAAATTTTTAAAAATAACTAGTGTTGCTAATCCCTACTTTTAAAAATGACACGCTAACGATATCGTTATTTGATGTAAATGTAGCGCCCTACTGAATCATAGTGCTCTTATTAGCTTCCATATTTAAAAAAGGTTGCTTAACTAAAAAAATATAAAAACAAATTAGTGAAATTTTAATATTTCCTATGCACATTATCTCTTATTATTAAGATTGTAGAATTTTTTTTTTTTTTGATTTTGAAATTTATAATTTTCATAAAAATAGATTACCTAACTATACAAGATTAGTCAAATCTAAAATAAAACACAATAACAATTTTTAATTAATTTTTTAATATTTTCTGCGCACATTATCTCTTATTATTAATTAAGGTCAATACTTTTTTTTTCTCCTTAAATAAAAGATTTGCAAATATTTTTTTAAAAAAAAATAAAATTATAATATTCCTTTTTAAAATTTAAAATTGAATAAAATTAATTAATCTAGAATTTTTTAGAAAATGATACACATTCTATTCCTATTCATTTTGGTTCATATTAAAGCCCACCCAGAAGGTTTAAAGAAAATGAATTATTTAATTATATTTGTAATAGATATACCCATGTACAAATTAGATCACGTAATATATGGGATAAGAGAAAAAAAAACTTAATTTTTTATATATCGAAAAATAGAATGCATCAAAGGAAAATCATTTGTCCTATTACTCCATTCTACACCACTATTTTGTGCTAATCTAGATAACTAGAAAACCCAGGTGGGTGATTCACCATTAATTATTCTCTCTAATTATTACGTGTAATACTTTAATTTGAGACGCATCCTTGTCCCGTGTCTATGGTAAGGCTATATAATACAAATTTAAAAGTATCTAGTATGGAAATGATATTTGTATTAAATAGCTATTTTAAGATATAAAATAAATGACGTGATGTACATGAAGATCAATCAATAATTTCTTAAAGCATGTTCAAAATAGCTTTTAGATAACTAATTTGTAAAATGTCCAATATTCGAATAACCAATTTTTATGTATTTGTTTTATTTTAAGATTTTATAGTTATAGTTATGATATTGATTTTTTTAATTTGACGTGTAATATTTTTGATTTCCCATATATATCTCAAAGATTAAAATCCATTTCAAGCGAAGCATTTTTTAATCACGATCATAAAAATATTTTTTTAAATAATATATATATATATATAACAAATATACAAAGAAAAATTTTTAAATTAATAATTAGTCATCTTCCTCCGGTGATATTCTGAAATCGTTTAATAATTTAAAATTTGTAAGATTACAAAGCTAATCTTTTCTTTAATCAAAAAGGCCCTCAAAAGTTATTGATTTAAGAGCCCCTTTGGCTGACGAGTAGTCCGTCAAACCGCTCGATTTTTTAAAGAGTCGTCGAACCCAATATATTAACCAAAAAATATTAGGCAAGTCTGAAAATTTTGTATCATGGATGGCAGAAAGGCTTAGGGTATTTCTTAACGAAATCCAGAGGCTTGCATAATATTTATGGGCTAAAATAATGGGTAGACATTTTTAAAAATTGAGCCTTTTACTAACCCTATTGACTATTATGATTAGGGATTACGCCTTATCCGAGAGGTTTGCCGATACCACGTAAGGTATTCAATATAATGTTTTCAGGTGAGTGCTAATATTTATGGGATTTTCTTTTTTTCAGCGATTCCTATCATAATTATTATCGGAGAATTTCTCTGCATGTAATGCCCCATTACGGCTTCCCTATACCCAAGGGAGTTGGGGCCTTATATATTTTATCTGTCTGACGCGCTAATAAAGTGGATGTCTCTCTTTAGAATCAACTATTAACCCACATCTTTGACAGTTGTAAGGTTGAAATATTTCTAAAAGGCCTGACGGGGAGGTAAATATTTGTGAATATTCTCTTTTGAATTAGATTAATTAGATTTTGTTCTAATAATGCTTTAATACCTGCAGATCCCCTTAAGGACAACCCAAGATCGGAGATTTTATATTTAATCACCTCGGTAAAAAGATAAATAGCAGGAGAAGAAAAATTTTAAGTTAAGTATATTTCACATATCATATAATTTAGGGATAAGTTGAGTTTTTGAAAATTTTAATGTTGATATATATTTAAAGGCATAGCCAAGGTTGGGGGAGGGGAGGCAAAAGTAATTCCTAGTGTTGTTAAACGGCTCGTTTTGAGTCGCCTTTTAAGAACGGCTAACTCAATATTTTAGCCAGAAAAATATTGCCTAAGCCTCAAGATTTCTCTAATAGATGTCCAAACCTTTGTTCCTTCTACTAACAAAATCTTCAGTGTTGCTTAATATTATTCTAGATGAAATATCGAGTTAGCCGGTTTTAAAAATCGGCTCAAAACAAGCCGTTTAACAACACTAGAAATCCCAAATTTGCCTCTTCTCATAAATATTAACTTTATCTTATTAAAATTTCCTCTCTGCACACTCCCTCCATTTCCTCCAAAAATGTATATAATATATAATGGAGAAAAAGATTTTCTTTGTTAAAATTAAAAATTAGAAATAACGAGTAACATTAAATATAAACAAAAAGTGAAATAAAACACCTAACATAGCCAAAGGCCTACAATAGGTGGTTCTAAACCACTAATAATATTTGAGGCGGGAAAACAAACCTAATGGTGCCCCCTCCTAGCAAAATCCTAGCTTTTATATATCTACTGCTTTAATGTAGGAAAGGTGGAATGGTCTAACTTTATTTTCCTAAAAATATAAAACTTGTATTCAGCATCAGCACATCATAAGATTTTATATTAATTTTTTTTTTCTTCCAAATTTATCAATTGTTTTATATAATAAAAATAAATGATATAAAAAAAAATAAAATATTTTAAAATAATTGGCAAGGTAAATAAAATGTTTATTTGAATGTTTCAAAATAAAAGTATGTAAAAAAAATAAAGTTTTAACAACTCAACATTTAATTATTTCATTGATGCAGATATTGTGAAATCATCCAACTACCATATAAGGAAATTAGATTCAATAATATCTTCTTATATTATTTTAGAGAACAAGAAGATATGAGTATTTAGAGATATGTAGACAATGATATTTATATACATTATGTTAGCATCTAAATGGTTACAAAAATAAGCATTGCAATACCATTTTAGTAATTTAAATGTACTATTCTGTAAAAATATTTTTTTTATTATAATTAGTTGTATCGACTCAATTTAGAAAACTATGTTGGGGGAACCTATATGATGAATATCCTGACCATTTCGATATATATTATGGCACTTTGGAATTAGTGTGAGAAATTTTATATTTTATTTAAAATAATATACGCGCTATAAAAGAATTTGTTTAAAACCATTTTAAATTAAAAACCATTAAAATAGAATATTCTTTAATCTTTTATACCTTCAAAATCATGACATATCTTTTTTTCAATTGTTTCTATTGTTATAACTCAGCAGACAAATATGATTCGATTTAAATATAAAGGAGACAAATTGTAATTTTTTTAAATCATATGTCCAAGTTACTATCAATAGAATTCTTGTGTCAGTTCTATTTTATTGATTTTAAACTCAGAAATTTTCAAAAAACTTTTAGAAAATTGTATTACAAATAAGATGATTTTTAAAATTTTGTATTTAAAAGATACAAGATAATTTTTTTAACACCTTAAATAGTCAAAATTAAAATGCATCATGCTTCATTTTTTTTAAATAAAACAGTTTATAAAAAATATATAAATAAATTGTTGAAAATGACAAATTTGTTATATAAGAAAATGCGATATTAAGATATATTTATAAAATTGTTTATTATAATAATAAACACAATATCAGAATAAAAAAAATTAATTAAATTATTTTTTTTTAATATGATTAATTCAAACAATTTGTTGTTTAGCCTTTGACGATTTGGTCTATTGACTATATTAGCGAAGTTATAATAATCGTAACTCAAAGGATGCTAATATTGAGATAAATTTAATATATATTTCTTTAGTATATTACATTTATATTATGTCTGTTATATTTCATATAATTTAAAACCTCTAAATTAATATCCTTTACTGAATAATTTAAATTGTATGTAATACTTTTAAAACTAAAGGATTCATCTTAATCGATTTAAGAATTTGCAGACATATTAATTTCAATATTATTTTTAAAATTAATTAATATATCATACATTATCTTAAAGTATCTAAACTCTTATTAAATTTTTCTTTTAAATTTTAAAATAATTTTCATTTTAAGTTTTATTACTTAACTATAATAAATTATTTTTAAGGTAACTCTATCTTTTTGAATACAAAGTTGATTAAAATACAGATATTTTTAAATAATTTGTTAGATACAAGTTTTTATTAAAAATTTTAAAAAAGATACAAATATCTGCGATTCTGCCCAACCATGATTTCAAATATAGTCAAAAATATTAGATAGGTTTGCGGTTAAATCTTGTTAGCATACATGTTCTCAAAGATGTCAGCGATATCTAATCGTTGATATTTTTTCTATTTTATCATTACATTCTTTCACTTACTTTTCTCCTGAAATCACTCCTCTCTTTCAATTATTTCTATTATAAGTATTTATTATATTAATAATAATTTCATATATATTTCTTTTCCTATTCATTATATTTGTTTTCTTAAAAACTTTAAATATTTTCTTAAAATTCAATTTTCATTAAATATGAATGTATATTTATTTTTAAAAAAAGGTTCTCGGAAATATATCTTGTTAGAAAGAAGAATTCAGTAGTGTCTTATATCGAAGGGGGTGATAGGAACCTTAATACATATTCAAGAAATAATATCACCAATAATACGTTGATTTTATTTGATTATTATCCTTTACGGAACATAATAAGGTTGACAGAACTTAAGCGAACATTCATAATTATAGCTGATGTGAGTAGTAATTATTTATACATTACATTTTAGTAACTTTTTTTTTTAGATCGAGATTGGTTTGAATAGCATTGGCGCAGCTTTTAGAATATGTATGATACCGTTAAACAGTAGCATATCACATATATGTGTGGAATTCGCAGACGCAAACGTGAGTTAAAATTTATAGGAACTTTATATTTCTTTCTTTCTTTTTTTCTTTCTTTCTTGGAGGAAAGAAGAAAGGAAGGAAGGAAGGAAGGAAGGAAGGAAGGAAGGAAGGAAGGAAGGAAGGAAGGAAGGAAGGAAGGAAGGAAGGAAGGAAGGAAGGAAGGAAGGAAGGAAGGAAGGAAGGAAGGAAGGAAGGAAGGAAGGAAGGAAGGAAGAAGGAAGGAAGGATAATGAAAAGTGGAATTTAACAATTTTTTGTTTATATTTAAATATATATAGTTTAGATTACGAATTAGAAAAGAGAATGTAACGTTGATAGTAAAACGTGAAGCCATCACAAGTTTAAGCATATATCACAATCATATAGTATACTATTTATCATGGAGCCTACCAAATGGAAATTTTTATCGATATCATTATACCGGTGGAATATATAATATATCTTGCATTCTCCGCTTCTGTTAAATTAATGTCTCAATAAACAAATAATTATGTATTATACATTTTACTGATATTTACGTTAATTATGCCTAAAAAATTATTTAAATATATTAACGTATCTAAAAATCTTGTATTAATTAAATTTTACTCGAATTGTGAAAGACTATCAATTTAACAATCATAAGTAACACTTGACATGACAATTTTCTTTATTATTTGGACACTTTATAATTTTTATACTTTTAATTTTAATATTTCTCATATAATTAAATGACGAATCGTTTATAAGAATGTAGTATATAATAAATACATTAAAGACCTTTTTTTTGCAAGTATTTGAAAGAATATAGGGATATATAAAATTAACTTTTCCCAAAAGTTAAATAAATATATGAATAAGTTAGTATAAAAGGAAACTAAATAAAAATGCTATAAAGAGGATTAAATATATAATAACGACATAATATATATTATTAAAATAAATAGGATGGATCAGCATGGGCTTTAATAGATTCCTAATATTTTATAGTTATATCTATTCAAATATTTTGGAGAGGATCTACTTTTTTTTCCCCAAGACGTTTGATTAAGGTAGTATAGTATTAGTGTGGTTGTATCATATAAATTAGAAAATAACAAAAAATTATGGCGAAATTCTTTGAAAATTCATAGGGTTTTATAGATATACTTTATACATAAATACGATTCTGTCAAAAATAGGTCTTACAAAGATTATAAAAAAGTGAGCTAGGTATTGTTTAAGTTTTCATAAATTTGTTTAAAACTTGGACATTTACAAATAATTCGAAATTGTTAATTTTAACTTATTTAAATTTAATTTTAAAAAGCCAACATGAGAGCTCGCCTAAAATATTTTTTTTTTTTGTAAAAATAAAATTTATTATATAATAGATGTTAAAATGAAATAGTAATTGAAAAAAAAAATAGATCTAAATTCTAGTTAAACATAGAGTTAGGAAAACTATGCTATTAGAGGTAATTTCAGATGGTACAGTGGAAATATTTCTAGATGTAATAGATGACCTGCCATATTATCAATAGAGTGTGTGAGAGAAAGTGATAAAATATTTGGATAAACTACAATTGGATTTATATTATATATAGTATATATATATATATATAATAAATTTAAAGATATCAGATAATATTTGATATATCAATGACGAGACTCTGTCTATACCCCACATATTGAGGTGGAGATTATATAAGGGAAAATATTTATCAAACTATTTCTTTTAAACATAATTAGCTATTTCAAATTAAATATCATTTAATCTATGCTCTTTTTACGTAATAGTTAAATTTCCTATACTCAACACATATACTGATGAAAGATTGGCAAAATATAATAGTATAACTAAGAAAAATATATTTATTGTCGTATTACATATTGAATCAACTAGAAGGCGATTCCCAACTATAACTACAAAATTACGCATCGAATAATTTATTATTCGCCTTCGCAACGAATAATAAAATCCTTATTCGGTTCGATTAAAATAAAAGTTTTATTTTCCCATAAATTAAAAAAGACCGGTTATTAAATTTATTTTGAAAAAAAAATTTAAATTTGGAAGACAAATAAATTTTATTGGTAAAGATAAAACAGAAGCATACATACATATATATATAGCAAATTCATGTATAATAATATAACATGAAAATTTAAATATAATATCATAATTAATTATAAATTTTATGATTTATTATTTAATTTTGAAATTAAAATATAATTTCAATTTGTAATTTATATTTTCATTTGTATTATAAACCTAAATCACGTGTTAATAATTGAAAATGTCATCGCCTATGGATATCCAAATCGTTGAAAGTGATTCAGACAATAATATTAATGAAATGGAAGAAACTATGGAAATGTTCTTAATAGCTATACTACAAATTTCCCATTCCCTAGATTTGAAATTTTTTTAAAATAAATATATAACCAAAACTGGTTTCAAATTTATTTGTTTAAAATGTAAAAAAAAATATTTCCTCAAAACAATCCAGTAGCTATAACCTTAAGAAACACCTAAAGGTAAATTGTCATTTTTACATTCTAATATTATTTATTTTATAAGACTGTTCATGAGTTTTAAGGAAATCGAGAAAGATCTAAATAATTTTGGTATAGGCCATTCTACATCCAAAAAGACTAATTCAATTCAAACTAAATTAATTAATAATGCAAATTACAAAATTTCTCAGAAATTGGCTGATAAAGTTATTGTTGATTTTATAATTTATACAGTTCAGCCAATGTCCTTAGTTGATAATCCATCATTTACCATGATAATTAAAACTCTATCCCCTGGTTCAACAAAGTTATGCCGCCAGGCACTAATGAATAAAATAGCAGATAACTTTAAAATAATGAAAGATGCTCTAATAGTAGAGTTATCAGAGATATCATATATATGTACCACGGGAGTATGAACACATAACAGAAGGTAAAAACTTATTTATATTTACAAATTGATCTGATTAAATTTTTGAGCCTATTTGGGAATCACAGGCCATTGGCTAGACCCTAAGACTTTAAAAAGAAGATCTGTGGCATTAGCCCTACAAAATGATAATAGGATGCCAGACATATGATATACTTGCAAATAAAATTATTGATAATCTATCTTATATTAAAAATATGTATATAAGATTAAATACGCCCTTACCCTCAAGTGCTAGTGTCAAGAGATTATATAGTGAGTCAAAACTTATACTTTCTGATCGTCGTTCTAGACTTGGGGATGATAATATTGAAATGATTTCATTATTAAAATGCATCAAATTACCATAAATATTAATTTTATCATAAATTTTTTATAATCAACACTAACTATATTTTAATATTTATAAATGTTGATTTTTATATATTTACTATACAATAACATCATAAGCATAAAATAAAAAATTTGTTTGTAAATTTTTTTATAAAATGTAGCTTAAAAAGTAGCTAAAGCTACTTTTAAAAAATAGTAGCTAATAGCGAGCTCCTTTTTTTTGACAAATAGCGATAGCGGTAGCGCACTACTTTTAAAAGTAGCGTTTAACAACTCTTATAATTTTCCGATGTCTTCACTACGTCCGTAACGTCATGTCATCGGTACGTATTTTTATTTTTTTTATTTGTTGATTTTATTTATTTATTTTATACAAACAGATGATCCTATAACTTAATCTTTTATTCAAATGTAGAGGCCATATTAAAACGAATAATCAAAGTAATACATTATTTACTAGATATTACAAATTATTAATATTTTATATAAAATTCAATTTACTTGTGAGGTGGGCTTGAGAATATTTATTTATATTATTAAGATCTTGGTAGCTTGCAAAAAGTAATACATTATTTACAAAATATTACAAATTATTAATATTGATTGGGATTTTAAATGTTAAATGTTAGTTTATGTTAATATACATTAAATATAGCTATTTACAAAATATTACAAATTATTAATATTTTAAATAGAAATTCAATTTAACAGATGATCCTATAACTTAAGTTTTCTATGCAACTGTAGGAGGCCATATTAAAACCAATTGTCAAAGTAATACATTATTTACTAAATAGAGTTATCTCCAATAATACGAGATGATTCTCTAATAAGTGGTTTGCCCAGACTTTCTCAGTTTCCCTTATTACCAATTCACATGTTTTTTTTGCATATATAACTAGGAGTTAACTCATTGATTAATTGGGAAATCAATGATTTCTCATTCATTAATTATAATTTAATATTTCTAGGCTTGGGAAATTTTTTTCAAAATTATTATGGGTTGGACTGGGCTTAAAAATTATTTCTCAAAATATTTAACTAAATTAATATAACAATTTTTATGGATCCTACTTTTTTTAAAGTATACCATTTTGCCGGATTCACCATTGCTCTATTATCCCTGCTGATTATTTTGTATAACGCACAAAAAAATATACATAGTACATTATTTTTAATATAAATAATTTTATATATGATTTTATATCTATTCCAAAAAATCGAATATTTTTTTATAATTTAAATAAATTTATATTATTTTAAGCGTCCCACGTATTTTTAAGGCTATCCATTTTGTCGGGCCGCACATAATGCCCTTTTATCTCTGATATATTTTGTCTAACTGAAAATTATACAAAGTACATTTTTAAAATTTAACTAAATTAATATAACAATTTTTAAGCATCCTACTTTTTTTAAAAGCTTACCAATTTGTCGGAACCACCATTTCTCTATTATCCCTGATGATTATTTTGTATAACGCACAAATAAATATACATAGTACATT